AAGCCAGGGGGGAGCCACCACTCTTGGGGCTCTCCTGGGGGCTTGGGCCTTTGCTGTCACCTCCTCAGAGCTGGGATGAGGGAGGAGGGTGGGAAGCATGGGGATGCTGAGGCTGGAGTGAGTCCAACACCAGCACATCAGGAGTCAGATGGGAGAGCAGTGGAAATGTGGAGCAACGTGCACCACATGACAGTCTGACTGCCCTGCTCAGCCCTGAGGACACTGTGATGGTCACTGCTCCCTGCCTAACCCCAGATCCTTTGTGGGGATGATCAGCTGGATGAGGGGCTGCTGCTGCCCTTCCTCAGGGTCGGTTTGTGCCAGGGAATAAATCCCATCAGCTCCTCAAAGGCCTCATCCCTCCTCCTCCTCCCTATCCTGAGATGGAGCTGATGGGAGAATGGGGAGGGGGGATGCTGGGGATACAGAGTGGGAGGATGCTGGGAATTTGGGCCAGGGGGATGCCAGAGGTGCAGGGTGGGAGGATGCCGGGAATGCAGGGCAGGCAGAACCAGTGCCATACTCACTCTCGAAACTATTTTGCAGGGATGAAATCCCAGCTAGAAGAGCTGAGATCCCCACAACCAGGGTGGCTTCTGGAGCTTTTCTGGCTCCAGGCCAGCTCTGAGGGCTCCCAGATTGAGGACTGTGGGAATGGGAAGACAGGCATTGGGAATGCCCCAGCAGGGCAGAGGGGCCATGGCAGAGCCCATCCCTCCCTTCACCAGCGTGTGCTGGAGGCTGCAGCACAGAGGTGGAGGGTGCACATGCCAAGCACAGGGACCAGCCTGGTGACCCCAAACCCCTGGGGGACCTTCAACACCTTCACAGACCTCCTGGGGGGCAATGGGTTTTGCCAACAGGCACTGGCTGCTCCCCTGGGATGCACTCGGAGCTGTGTCCCCAGTGACCCAGTTGGGTGTATGGAGGGGACCCAGGGGTGACAGTGGGAGCTGGGTGATCACAGGTATCACCACCCAGCACTTCCAGTCACTCACCTCACCTCACCCCAGCACCGGGAGGATCCAGATGTCAGCCCTGCTAATAAACACATCAGATTTCAATCTCCGCAGCCATGGGATCGCTTTATCCTCCCTGTGCTCTCGGCTCTGAAAGCAATTTTGCCTTCAGAAAGAGCAGCCTCCTCCCCACCCATGGGACTCGGGCACAGGCTGCCTCCACCTCGGTGCCCCTGGGGCTTTAGGGGGGCTCTTTGTCCTGGTGTGGCAATGGGGGGACTCCACTGCTTTCCTGGGGTGGTAGAAGCATTCCCAGCCACAGATGGGTGCCCTGGGTTGGGTTTGTCGCGCTGTCCTCAGGCAGCAGCTTGTTTTTGGGGCACAGCAGACGCAGCGAGGGGCAGCCAGCGCTCATCCATCTGGATATTGGTTACCTGCCATCTTATCTGCGCTCCCAAAGACAAAGGCACAGTTAAAACATTTTAGAACAGCCTTCATAGCATATTAACATGTTATCTAACCCATTAAACCAGAGGCTTATCAGATAATCAAAGCCATTAAGCCCTGAAGCTGCTGCGACTTTGGGTGCGGGGATGGGAAATGCTCCTTCCGCTCCACCGCCGGCCCTGCCCGGACCCCCCGTGCCGTGCCGGGACCCCCCGGCAAGCGGATGGGTCCCACCACCCACCACGGACACGCAGCTCTGGGACACCCACCAGCAGCTCTTGGCCCCAACTGGATGCCCTCCTCCCCGGGGATCTGGGGGTGCTGCAGGATGGGGAGTTTTGGGGGGCATCGTGCTGATGCTGTGCCTGTTTCCCTGCAGATGAGCTGGATCTGGAGGTGCAGGATGGGGAGAGACGAGTGCGAACCCGCAGGAGTCTTCCCGAAGGCTTCTCCTGGGGACCCTTCCAGGGCAGCATCCACAGCGAGCCGGCATCACCGGGGCATGGGGACACGGTAAGAAGCCACCCCCATGGGGATGGTGGCAGGGGAAGTCCCAAACAAACAAATTGTTTGGGAATAGCAGTCCATTTGGGATGGATTTTCCCTACCCGGGCTCCTCACTCCCTGAGAATCTCCTGGTTTGGGTGCCCAGGAGGTTTCCCTCCCATACACTGAGGGGAGAGTGTTCCCATGGGCAGCAGGTCAGGGTGCTGGCTGTCCCCTCTACATAGCTACAGGTTGCTTGGTTGTTTGTGGATAGTCATGAGATCTGCATTTCCCACCCCAAATTTGCTCCCTGGGGACTCTGATTGTGCCTGGAAAGCACCAGCAGCAGTGGTGAAGGGGCAGGAAAGAGGGCACCAAGGTGGCACCAAGGGGCTGGTGGCTGTTAGTGGCTGTTGGTGCCATCACTGGGGTGAGCAGCAGAGGAGTTGGGGGTGTATCTATGAACGTGCACATGGGTGTGTTTCAGGCTCTGGATCCTCATATCCCCGCCACAGCCTTCCTTCCACATCCCCCCCGAGCCACACACAGGCAGCTCGAGCCCAGGATCCTCGAGGCCTGGCTCCATCCCCACCTCTTCCTCCTCCTCCTCCTCTCTCCCTCGCTCTTCTTTTCTTTTCTTTTTTTTTAGCTCAGGCCCGTTTATCTTTGCTGAATTAAATCCTTGATTAACCCTTATCTGCCCAGTTTGGCTCCCTATCTCCCGGTTGGCGCCGTGTGTCCAGACACCCGGTACAGGATGATTGATTTCTCAAAGATATGCGCGGCTTTTTTCTGATACTTCATTTATTGTCTAAATATTTTTGCTCCCATTTCAGCAGCTCCCTTATCGAGCCCGGCTGATGATTCCCAGCCCTGCTCTCCTCTGCCACTCGCCTCCCTCCCTATCTCTGCTCAGGGAAGGGAGGAAGGAATCGCAGCCCCATCCCTGATACGGGCTGTCGCCCTCAGGTCCCTTCGTCTTTGTTGCTGGCGGCGGGGTGGGCGTGCAGGGGGTCCCCCCCAAATCCTGCCCGGCTCTGCTCCTCATCTCCGTGTGGGAGATTATCCCACCCTGGGCTTTTAGTGGGAGCTGGGAACACTGGATCGCTTTAATGCATCTGTGGCATCGTGTGTGCCTATGGCTTTGCTAATGGAGGAAAAGGAGAAGGAGGAAGAGGAGGAGGAGGAAGATCCCTGCCTGCCCCCAGCTGGTCCCACAGGGGTCCCCCAAAACATCAGTGCTCAGGAGGGCGTGGAAACCCACTGAGAGCCAGCCTGGGGGTGCCAAGGAATTGTGGAGCCCCCCTGGGGCTGTCCCCCAACTCCATCCCTGCCCCATGTCCCCCCCAGCCACCCAGCCCGGGGTGCAGTGAGGGCACAGGGCCGTGCCCATGCGCCATCCCGGCGGATGCGGAGCAGATAGGGTTTCTGATGGTTATCAGCCGGTGTGGAGCGGAGACACCGACCTCTTTGTTCCAGGGAGAACAAGGAAAGGCTTGACGCAGGGGCTGGGGCCGCTGAGGGGAGCTGGGGTGGGCACCCTGGGGTGCTGGGAGCACTTTGGGGTGCTGAGAGCTCCCTTGGGGTGCTGGGAGCACCTCGGGGTGCTGCAGGACTCCTGGGCACTGCATGGACCTCCCTCCATCAGGGGATACCCACAGCTTCCCCCATGCACAGAGCAAAACTCCAAAGGGACCATCCCCTCCCTCCTCCACTACGGTCCCCAAGGGTGCTCAGCCCACAGCACCCATCCCTGTGTCCCATGTGCCCATCCCAATGTCTCCAGCCCCCATGGGCCAGGTGGGTTCCCCCAGCACTGTGGACCATGCACATGCGTGTGCAAGTGCCTCACACACGTGTGCAAATGCCTCACACGCGTGTTGAGGGGGTTTATCACACTGCTGGCACTCGGCTCCTGGCAGTGATAAGGCCCCAACCGGCTGCCACTGTCAGACTGAGTTGGAGGGGTTGGAAATATTGGGATGGATAATTAGATTTCATATCGTTACTGCAGCAGCCATCGGAGGATCAGAGAGATTAATTTCCCCCCCCTTATGCTCATTAATATTCATTAGAATGCAGGGAGGCAGAGCTGGGCAGGGGCTGAGCAGGGAGTGCTGTGGCCACCCCTGGCAGCCCCTCAGCGTGACCTCGGCCTGTTTTGGGGAGTGCTGTGTCCAGCCCCGTCAGCCCCTCCCCCTGACCCCAGCCTGGCACCCCCTCACCGTGACCCTGGCCCGTTTCAGGAAGCGCTGTGACCCCCCTGGCAGCCCCTCACTGTGACCCTGTCATGTTGTGAGGAGCGGTGCTGACCCCCTGTCCCTGCCCTGGCAGAGCCCACCCGTGACGCTTGTGCTGGGGGACGAGAGCTGCTGGCTGTCCCGCCTGCCCCTCGTGCCCGGAGAACCCGATGCCAACGCCGTCATCTACAGGAAGGGTCAGTACCACTGTCTGTGGGGGTTCAGAGGGAAAGTGTCCCCATCCATGCCCCCAGTCCCAGTATCTGCTCTCTGTGTCCTCCTGCTGGTTGTCCCTGGGCTTGTCCCCGGGCTTGTCCCTGTCCCAGCCTCTCTGGCTGTCTGATGCCAAGAGGGCTGGGGAGAGTCCCAGCAGGGATGGGTGCAGGGATGGCACAGGTGTAAGGATGGGTATAAAGATGGGTACAAGGATAGCAAGGCATGGGTGTAAGGGTAGACTAAGGGATGGATATAGGGATGAGTGCAAGAATGGTGAAAGGATGGATGCAGGGATGGGCACAGGGATGGAAACAGGGAGAGACATAGGGGTGGGTACAAGGATGAGTATAAGGATGGACGCAGGGATGGGCACAGGGATAGAAACAGGGATAGACATAGGAGTGGGTGCAAGGATGGATGTAAGGCTGGACACAGGATGGGCACAAGGATTGGCACAGGGATGAGTGCAGAGATGGTTGTAAAGATGGGCACAGGTATGGGTGTAAGGGTGAACTCAGGGATTGGCACGGGAATGGGCACATGGATATGTGCAGGGATTGGCAGAAGCCAGAGCTGCGGCTCGGGACAGGCACGGCCGTGCAGGGCTCAGACACGGACAGACACTGCCATCTCCAGGCCGTGGCTGGGAGGAAACACCGGGCACTGCCGGGACAGCGGGGACAGGGCGGGACAGAGGGGACAGGGTGTCCCAGAGCCATGCGGGCAGCAGGACGGGGTCCAGGGATCCACGCTGACCGCTGTCCCCCCATTCCAGATGAAGCTCTGTGGTGCCGGACCACACGTGCGCTGCGGGAGAACGAGCGTGTGAGCGCCTTCGTGGTGGCAGAGCCACCGGCTGTCCCCAACCACGGGGTGAAGGCGGAGCCCAGCGAATCCCCGTACCCGGCGGCGCTGCACTCGGACATCCAGCTGCTGCCACAGCAGGCCGGCATGGCCGCCATCCTGGCCACCGCCGTGGTCAACAGTGAGTCTTGGGGACATGTGGAAGGGACATGGCCCTGCCAGGGCTCCCAAACCCATAATACAAGTGATGCATGTCCCTTGTCCCTTCCCTTTTGCAGAGGACGTGTTCCCGTGCAAGGACTGCGGGATCTGGTACCGGAGCGAGCGCAACCTCCAAGCCCACCTGATGTACTACTGTGCCAGCCGACAGAGCGCCAGCGCTGGCTCACCAGCCGTGGATGAGAAGCCCAAGGAGACGTATCCCAATGAGCGTGTCTGCCCCTTCCCCCAGTGCAAGAAGAGCTGCCCCAGTGCCAGTTCCCTGGAGATCCACATGCGGAGCCACAGCGGTATGGCATGGCATGGCACGGCACGGCACCTCTCGTCTGGGTGGAGGGGCAGGGAGGCTGTGGGGCGGCAGCACGGTGACCAGTTTGATGAGGTTCTCCCCATTTGGGTCACTGGTTTGGGGCAGCTCACTTTTACGTCTTCCACCATCTCAGCCCTGTAAAGATGGAGGGATTTGGCCCTGTGGGGTGTCCCTGTGGTCCCCATCGCCCTTCCTGAGCGTTCGTGTGTCCCGCAGGAGAGCGACCATTCGTCTGCCTGATCTGCCTGTCCGCCTTCACTACCAAAGCCAACTGTGAGCGGCACCTAAAGGTGCACACGGACACCCTGAATGGTGAGTGTTCCCATGGGAAGACCCCTGTCCCTTCTGGCACAGCCTGGGGATGGGTACTGGCTCTTCCAGCCCTGCCAGGTACCCGCTCAGCCCATGCCGTGTTCCCAACAGGTGTTTGCCACAGCTGCGGCTTCATCTCCACCACGAGGGACATCCTGTACAGCCACCTGGTCACCAACCACATGATCTGCCAGCCGGGCTCCAAGGGCGAGGTGTTCTCCCCTGGATCAGCCCTTCCTGCTGCCAAACCCGTCGCTCCTGGTGAGTGCTGGGGCTG